TTTTCTACATTCGCCATGAAATATATTTTTTTTCAGTGGGCAATTTGTTGCCTGCAGCAACTCTGCTAAAACTCACAAACAACTTTTATTTCTTTCCTTTTTTCTTTTCGTTTCTGCACTCAGGCAATGAAGATGCTCTTTTCCTCTTGCTGTATTATATAAAATTCAACTGAATAAATTTTGTAAGATTTAGTCAAGAAAATACAGGTGTGAACGTATAGTTTAGAATATAACCAATATAGTCAATCAATCACTGTTCTCACTTGCATACAGCTTACTTTAAATGAATGCTTATATTCAAGACTACATTTTTGAAATACCTGAATTACTTTCGCTTAGCTAAATTGCTTGGTAACAAAGAATCAATTCTCACAAATAGTACATGCGAAACTAAGAACAATGACGCAAAACTGTAAGATCTGGAAACGCTTCTTTTCCTATAAACTGTAAGCAATTTACTATTCAGAAGCGCGTCGTAGCGCCTTTCTCTCATTTGCACAAACAAATAAAAGCAATTGTGACTAATTAATAAAAAAGTGTGTCACGATACTAGCCCCTTTGTTGCCGGTAGAGCGTATTTGTTAACGGGGTTTGGCTCTCTGTGCCTCATGACAAAGAATACAAAAAGTCTCGTCGGTTGTCTATCGTCCGTCTGTCCACCGTGAGTCCATCTGTAACCGTCCGATGTCCTCCCTACGGTGCCATCAAATGCACGCTCCCTCACCTGACCTCAGCCACAGCGGTGGCAGTTTGCACTCAGCCATATATCGGGGCTCCTCCGTAAATAGGGGACAAGAAAAAGAACAAAAAAGGAAATAAATGAATTAAAAATACCTGACCGTGAATCTGTATGTTGCTAGTGTCTGCGGTGGTGGCTGCTTACATCATCTGGTTCCTTCTTCTTACACTCTCGCCCTCTTATTCACCCCTTTTCCTCTTCCTCTTCACTTCGTTGTGTTGCCTCCTCTTCTTTTTTTCTGCGTACTTTAAAGCGTTTGTTCAATGAATTTTATTATGAATTTCATTGACGATCAATGATGTACGTCATATTACTGCTGCCGTTACTGTTATCGTTGTTATGGCCGATTGTGTTTGTTTCGTTCTAATTATTTAGTTTTTTTTTTCTTTACTTTAAGAAAAACAACTCCATTTGGTGAGATATAATTTCCAATTTATTTACATCAAATTTCTGGTTTTTATTTCTTCGGTATTGTAAACACTTCTTTTGAAAATTCTTTTCTTTTTAAAATATTTCAATATTAACAACTTTTTCTTAATGTATATTATTTCGCAAAAGCTATTGTAATAAGAAGTGTATTTTATGCAAAATTTCCATAATTTTATCTTATTTACATTCTCCTTAATGTTTATTATTTCGCAAAAGCGTCAATGACGTTTAAAATTAATATATTCACACACGAATGCTATGCGCTTTGCTTGGTGACCGCAAGACGAAGAGAAACGGTAACTTTATCCACTTATGGCTTGGTTTCTCTTTCACGACTTGCTTCAGTTAAGAGACATTTTTCAATCACTCTTCAAAAATTTTAATAAATTTTGATCTTTTCTTTTATTTTTTTTGATATGAGGGTCGTTTCTGCAAACGAATTCAAATATTCATGTGTGAGTGGCTTTTATTCGATTTTTTTCTCTTTCAGTCATTGCTTTGTTGAAAAAAAATATTTTTTCCTACACACACTTTTCTTTACGTGGCTCCTACTATATGGGTTTTTCTTAAATATTTTCTTTGTTATTTTACTTATTATTTTTTTCTCATTAGTCTAAAATTAAAATAATAATAATAATAATAATATTTTTTTCTATCAAATACACAATTTCTTTACATAATTTGTATACACTCATTCGTACATGCATTTTTATATTGCACACATGGAAATTTATCGAAAATAGCTGTAATGACGATTTCCTCACATTTCTTTACTCGATGCAAGCAAACCTTTTTTTTTTTTTTTTACCGTTTAACAATTACTTTATTCCTGCCAACTTGTATTTCTTTAATAAAGTTCTAGTTAATAGCTTCTTTTTCCATTATTTTTAAACATTATTTTGCAAAACCGCAAGCTCTAAGCGCTATTCTACCTTCTTTACACGCGAACTTTAAAAAGATCTCTCACATTAGTTGCTGTTAGTCTTTTGTCCTTTTTTTTTTTTCTTTCTTTGCACTTGAAGGCTCAATTTTAAAAATAGTTTTATTTATTCGCTTTTAGACCAAGCTCGCGGACACGTCCGCACCTCAGCAGAGGCCAAGTAATTCTCCCCTCTATCTTCGAAGACAAAACACAGACAGACTTTTCATCCCTGCTCACTTCTTCTCTTCTTCTTTCTGTTGCTCTCTATAGCGACTTGCCGTTACTCTCGCAAAAGCAAGCAATATCCCGCAAGATCATGCGATTTTGCTTATTCTTGCAAAAGCAAAAGAACAAGGGAATACCGCAAAATCACACGATTTTGCCTGTTCTTGTAAAAGCATAAAAAAAGGAATACCGCAAAATCACATGATTTTGCCTAACGGCATGCCGTTATTGCGATACTTGCGGTTGACACAGACCGACAGACACTCTACCCAAGGTTTGTTCGCGGCCGTTACAAGTGTTTGAATACACACATCATTGGTGGGATAATGTGAATTAGTACTTGGTTAGTAGTACTTATACTTATTTATTGCTTTTGTGTGTACATTACACTTTTACTGTCTTTGAGACGTTTGCTTTATTTGAAAATTAAGCGATTTTCTTTTGTGAATGTGCTATAGAATAAATAAATAATTAATTAATGATAATATCTATGAACAATTTAAAACTTCTTCTTCTTTAGTTTTACCATTAATATTTAATTTTTTGTTAGTATTATTTATATCTACTATTTTATATGGACCTTCATAGAGTTTTTCGAGTTTATTTCCATTATGCGCTTTTAATAATAGTAGATCTATTTTTACACCCATCACCGAATGATAAGGTGTGCATTCATTTTGTCAAAACGTTTGCAACGCCTACAAGGAAGCTTCAGAGACTCCACAAAGTATATATTTTCTTGATAAGCATCAAATTCTAAATCGATATAAGCAGGTCCGTCTGTGTGTCTGTCTGCCGATCTAATGTCTGTAGCAAACATTTTCCTGGCCACAAATATTAAGCTATCGACTTAAAATTTGGCAGAAATATTGGAAATTTTTGCAGGGAGATTGGTATTGAAGAAGAATCAGATCGCTTGAAGAACATGGCCACAGTACCAAGTAAAGCCAGAAAGTGCAAAGGCACAGACCTAACGGTCTGGTGGCTTTGCAAACTCGTGCTCAACGGATTGTAAATCATACCATTTGGTACCTAGATTAGCAATATCAATAAGAAAGACATAAGGATAGGCAAGCGAGCAAACATAGCGATAGCAGACAAAAAGAAGGGCTTGTAGAATTATGCATGTTGATATGATGCATACCATATTAAGATATGCATAACGGTTTATAAAATCATACGATTTAGTACCTAAGCCAACGTTAGCGATAAGACCATACGAGTCAATACTTAAGGTAGTGTTAGTAAATGCAGACAAACATGTTCGACCACGCGTAAGAATAGGTACAGAAGAATATCGTGGCAACAGACATACAAGTCCAAGTATCCATGTAACGGGACAGCGATGATGGCCGCGACTATAAAAGAGCGCGTCACAGCACGCTCAGCCTTTCAATTATGTTATAGCAGCCAGAAGTAAGTGGTCACGGACTACATAACTAGCTGACGTGACTGATAGGGTTCTCTTTACCTTTTGCCGATAGGGGATGGCTGGCTTAGCTTAGTCGTCATCTGTCAATGACTGATAGGACTGTTAACTTTTACGGATAGGGGATGACTGGCTTAGCTTAGTTGTCATCCCTGAAGGAGAGGAGGACACTCTCTCTAACGACGTGAAACGGTTAGGGACAGACGAGTGGTCCTATGGACCAAGGGTAGCTGCTATAATATCCGCGACGTATTCTTTTCTTTTGAAGAAGCTCGCGACACGGTTAAAACATGAAAAATAATCCTTCGAAAGAACAAAAAGCATTGAAAGCGTTAAACGAGAATCGGGTCACCACGCTGGTTTGTTTTCTCCCGCTCTCCTTAAAATCGCTTATTGACTGTAAATTCCATAGGAATAACTAAATATTAAGAACAGCATTCGGAGTTCCAAGTTATTTTCTTTTATATAACTTTCTTGGAAGAAGTCCTGGGAAGCCCGGAGCTTACCCCGTCTTTTCTAATCTGGTATATTGATAACATTGAAAATTAAGAATGCGGTTAGTGGTATGGCTTTTTATCTAATTTGACGAGTTTGTCATGTCTAATGTCGGTAACTATTTGGCTCTTTTTAGTTTATTTAATATCTGCTCTAGTCAAGTTTGTGGAAATTTGTCGTTGACCATTTTTCTGCTAAGCTTTCTGCAATCTATTACTAATTTTTACTTATTTTGGTCTGTTTGGCCTTTTTTGGGTATTACCAATAGCGGAGTCATATGGGCTTCTCAATGGTTCTACTATACTTTGTTTTAAAATGTCCCTGACCTGAGTGTTGAGCGTTTTTTTTTTTTTTTTTTTGTGAGGCGGAAGACCATCAAAAGGCGCACCTTAGGGCAGTGCGAGACTTTAACCCGCTAAAAACCACCTCTCCTATTCCCTACCCTGTGGCACGACCGTTTAGGTATACGTTCACAGGGAGGGTAGCCGTTTAGGCACTACTTAAAAGCCTACGATGACGCTCTTCGTGTCTTTGTTTACGCATAATGTTTGCGGCGAACATTTCTACCGCCTTCCATATTTTGAGGTCATGCAACGTATTTGTCACAAGATTGTCGGGGAGAGTATTAGTATATACTATTAGAGTATATAGTATTTCGGACAGACAAAGAAAACATGTTCAGCGTCTTCTATGCACTTACAAAAACTACATAATGGGTCCTGCTCTATTTTAAATCTATTCAGATAGAACCGAAAACAGCCATGGCCGCTAAATACTTGGGTCAAATAAAAGTCGACCTCACCATGTTGCCTATTCATCCAGGGCCGTAAGTCTGGTATGCGTCGATGCGTCCACCTACCCTTACCCGCTCTGCTCCAGCGCTCCTGTCACTCTTCCAACAGACGCTGTTTTACTCGCTGCTTAGCTGCTTCAGCTGTCAGTCTGCGAAATTCGGCTCTATACAGACCTTCTTTATCACGCAGATCGATTGGCATTATACCGGCGATAACCAGGGCCGCGTCCTCCGACACCGTCCGATATCCGGCGCACATCCTTAGAGCGCATAGCCTGTATGCTGCTTGTATGTCTCTCGTGTATGACGGGATAGCGAAAGCCTTGTTCCGCACAGAAGAGCCGTACATTATTGTCGCCGTTACCACATCTGCGATCAGCTTCCTATGGTCTTGCCAAGGGCCACGCAAGTTTGGCAGTAAGCGCGTCAACGACTTTGGAACCTTCGCTGCCTTTTCGCCCGTGTATTTCAGATGGCGTTTAAACGAGAGTCTGCAGTCTATCATCACTCCTAGGTATTTTATTGCTTCTTGAGACTGTATTCTCGTGTCTCCGACTTGGATAGTCACTTTCTCAATTTTCTTCCTAGAAGAGATTAATACCGCTTCTGTTTTCTCTTCCGCCAGCTCTAAATCCACTGACCGCAGCCACCTCGGTTTTATTCGCAGTAGTGGTAATTCACTCTAGAGTTTTCGCCACGATAGTTATCGCTATGTCGTCTGCAAAACCCACGATGGATGCTCCCTCTGTAAGAGGTAATCTCAGGATATCGTCGTACATTACGTTCCACAGCGTAGAGCCTAGGACTGATCCCTGAGGTACCCCTCCAGTGATCAGCCTCTCCCTGCACCCGTTATCCGTAACATATCTCAGTTTCCTGCTGGTAAAATAGCTAGTCACTATATTAATCAAATTATGTGGAATTCTTCTTTCCTGTAGGGCAGCTATGATGCAATACCAGTTTGCTGAGTTGAATGCATTTTTTATATTTAAAGCTATTACTAGGCAATACTTTTTGTTGCCTTCCATCCAACGTTTACCTTTGATCGCTTCTGCTGCGGTATTTGTGACCATTTTTATTGCATCCATTGGGCTTTTCTTTTTTCTGAAGCCGAATTGGAAATCCGAGAGCCCTTTAGATCTCTCGAGTGATGCTTCTAAACGAGTTCGAATAATCTTTTCGTACACCTTGCCTATCGTATCTAATAGACAAATAGGGCGGTATGCATTTGCCACATGCGACGGCTTGTTTGGCTTTGGCAGCAACACCAACGTCTGTTGTTTCCACTTATCTGGGAAAATTTGTTCTTTCAAACAAGCGTTGAAAGTGCTCGCAAACATAGCAGGCCTTGCCAACATGGCTTGCTTAATAGCGCAATTTGGGCGGGTGTTGAGCGTGTTCATTTGTGTATGTGAGAATCTGTAGTTTCTTATGCATACGAGCGTGTTGTCATTAATTTTAATATTTTATTTGGGGAAGTTGCCTACACTTAGTAGTTCGTCCTTTAAGGGAAATGAAAACAGATATTTCTTGGAAATCTTATGTAATGTTTGTTGCTCTGTTATATTTGATATGCCCAATCGCAGTGAATTTATTAATGTTTTGATGCGTTCATCTCTGTCTAGCTTAGTATACCTTTTCGTAGTCGTCAAATACTTATTGATAAATTTGTAGTGTTAACTCTTTGTCTAGAGTATTCAATATTTATTGTCTAGAGTATCCAATATGCTCCTTGTTTCAGTATTATAGTATTAGCCATAAATATCCTTTTTTTTTATTTCCTCGCTCAATACCATCGCATCTTTTTGTATTGTTATATCTGTAGGAACTATTATCTCATACCTTGGAGGTATATATCTCTTATTAATTGGCAAGTCACAGACAAGAAGTATAGTTCGGAAATTTTTGGTGTTAATAGTTACGTTACAAGAAAATGCCTATAAAAGGTCTCTTCATATTATACTGTCAATTTGTGCAGCGTTTTGGATTTAGGTTGGATTATTTCTTGTGCAGCAAATAGTTACGCATATGCGTATTCTACTGTTTCTCTTTCGATTTCTCTCGATTCTCGACAGAGCGATGTTTGTTGCTTCTGAAAAAATGTTCGCTCCGCGGTGAATATGGTTGTTCTTACAGAGTTATCTAAACCATTTTTAAAAGTCATTTTTTTCACCACGAATATTTTTGATATGACTGCCAGGTTTCGATATGTACTGTAAGTCTTGTTTGTCTCATAACAAACTCTCTACTTTGGAATTTAATGCATATTTTGAAATTAATTCACAAATTAATTTACCCTTGACGAAGTATTGATTAACTAATTTCTTACGTATTTTCATATTATTTTATTTTTTCTTTGGGTGTTTAAAGCACTTTTAAATTCGAAGGCCTTGCGTTCAAATCATCACAGTTATAAAATTTGATCTATATTACCGTGAATGCTATAGAATTCGTTGCACATATCGATTAAATTTTGATCTTCTAGCTACCATTAAAAAATGTGTTCACTCAGATTTCCGGTATCACAACTAGTTTTAAAATAATTTGATTGCCTTTTTTTGTGTGCGAACTTGTTAACAAGCATACATTTGTATCATTCGTTTTTAAACTACCTTAAAGTGTTGTTGACGTAGCATGCAAAATATTATCGTTCGTGCAAATAAAGTAAACTAAAAATTGACGCAATCTGCAAATCCCTTCTTTATCGTCGTTTTAGGTTTTCCAAGTGTAATTTTCACTTCGTTTCATTATTAATAGCGAAAATTATTGTTGCAAAGAAACTTGCACCATGCAAAGAGAGTAGATATGATTTAGCCATTGGTTGCTGTTAAAACTAAGTCGGACGACTCTTTTAAATTTGAAAAAGGTAAAACAGATAAATTAGTATCGCTAACGACCTCTTCCTTATGAAAAGGCAACGTAAGGAACATATTAAATACTCCTTATACGTAGCTGAAGTAATGTGATTTTTTAGTTTGAAGTTTCGCTACGTAACTTTGCATAATTAAACGGTGATTCGCATTTCCTCGTCTTGCTGCAAAAACAGTAATCATATTGGCTTTATATGAAAATTCGATTTATTGTGAAATCGAGAGGGTCTAAAGGGAATCTTAAAATTTCGGTTTGATTTATGTAAATTAAAACTTGGTTTGATTGAACTTATTTGGAGAGAAAGCTTTTTATAATTGTCACACATAATACGCGCTGTAATAGCTAAGTTTCCAACAATGCTTTCCAAATAATTGTGATTTAAACTATCTGTAATACAATGATACATAAAGTTTGGGCGGGAAGGTATGTAACAATCAGAAAAACTTGAAAAAGACGCACTTTTCTTTATACTGATCGTTTTAGAATCATTCCAGAACCATTTTCTGATTCAGTTTAGGTTTATTTTTCCAGCCGTCTATCTTCTTTTATAAGGTTACACATACAGACGACAATTTTTAAGACATTTTGTTGAAAGGCCAAGGGTTTTGGATAGGACCGCTCCTTCTGTCAGTTCTCATATACCGCCCTGCTTTGAACACCGCCCTACTTTTAATATGTGGATAACTGTATGGTAGTATAAAAATTACAGGTAAGCCCTATTCCCCTATAGCTTTTTTACTTCTTGTAATTAGAAATAGGAGCTATCTCATCCTTATTCACAACCCCCAAATAATATCGCTTGCTTTGAAATGACCTTACAGTTCGTTTAAATCTGTAGTTATCGGTATTATACAGATGCGATAAAATTCAGAAAGCTTTTGATTCTTTATACTTTTCGGTTAAGGATTTATGTCGAGTCAGACTTTCTTTTAGTCAGGATGCATTTTCAGTAAAATCAGGCCTCGAGATAATGACTTTTTTAGGGAAAGGTTTCATGAAACTTGGTTTACATGAGTAGTGCTCGTTGTAACGAATCGCGTTTCAGCGTGCATAAGTCATGCGTCTGGAGAAGTTTGCCAACATTCACAGGTTTTAGCGGATGTATCGGAAATTTCGAAATTTGGATCTGTTTGTGGTTTTAGTAATATAAAAGTCTTTGCTTAGGGTTGCGCAGGGGAAGAATGGAAAATTGAATTACAATTTTGACACATATACAATTAAAACAAAAGGGTAAATTTTGAAAGTAATGGTAAGTATATGTGTATATTAAACGCTGCGATTTTGAAATTAAAAATGTTATAATTCAGTCAGTTTATGTATATAAAAATAAAGGAAAAATTTGATAATCAATTGAAAATAAAAATATTTGACAGCTACAAAAACATTTTTGTGTATGTGCGAGCTACTACTATTCGTAGCTACTACAATTTCGTACCACAATTTGCAATTAGGAAACAGCTAGTTAGGGAGTGCTCCGACTAATGAGAAGAACAAGCAGACCTTCTTCACGTGTTTAGGCAATTCCAGAGAAGGAAAAAGTTTTATACTCAAAAAATGGAAAGGTAATAGGGAGAAGAAAAGGCATGCAAATAAGTTTAAATGTAATGCGTGGATATTAGCCATCTTTCTAGAAATTTCTCGAATAGAAATGGCAATACAAATATAAAAGAAAACCAAGGCAAATAATATAGTAAAGCTGGCGTATTCTTTGCAATAAATTGAAGTAATTTCTTGAGTGCAAAACCGAGAAGAAAAGCAAACAATAGTAGTAACTTTAATTTTAGTGGCTGATTGATAGATTCAGGTGGTAGTCCCGAGAAAACTCAAGATAAGTCGAATATAACACGACAGTAAACGGTAGTTGATAACAGAAGAGAACATTCGTTAAATCCCATTGGCAGCGGCGTTATAATTTTTTTATTAAACATGAAAATATTTACGTAACAGTGAAAAACGTTGAATACGGACTTGTACAGTAAACAAATTTACTTTCGCTGTGGCAGAAGACAACAAGCAGAAAAAACATAATTCTTGAGGTAGATACGTGACTTTTTCGCTCGGCAACTCTGCATGAAATAAGACGCTTTCTTGCAGAAAATTCTTGAAAAATAAATTTTTTTTTCAACAAAAAAAGAAAAAATTCTCTTTTTTTTTTTGTTTCT